AGAAATAACTTTTTTCTACAGGCCTGCCTGTTGCTGCTGTAAAAGTTTGGTATTTTGACACTAAAAGCCATTTGGGGATGGAGATGGAGTCAGTTAGCAGCCTCAAGTGTGCGTTTGAGGTACTGCAAAGCCATTCAGTTTGAATTTAACTAAAGTGGGGTTATTTTTCCACACAATATCAGCTTCAATATCAATATAGTCACAAAGTTTAATACTGAGATCTGCATATGCGGAAGCAGTCTGATTAGATGTTTCTAGGTAGAAATATCTAGATAAATAGGCTTTTTATATGTAGATTATAAACTGATAGTGAAGGTAATGATTTTACCGTCGGCCATTTTTCACACCCAAAAAAAAGCTCCTGTGAGATCGTCCGACTCATTCTGTTCACTGATCTCGCTGTATTTCCAGTTAAAACCAGTCTGGATTCAATTACGTGCAAACTGCAAAAGCAATTTTAGTAAACCACAATTTTCCTTTATCGCCATCAGACTTACTACATTTTGGATGAACAACAGATTTGTCTTTAGTCATGCAGAAACAAACTGAATGCTATAAATGAAGGATTGTAAATGAAGAAAACAAAGTCGGCACCTTTCAGGTCCAACTACATTCCTCTGACTGAAAGACGATAGTTAATTTAACCTCAGGCGCGTTTGATTACCTCAGGTGGCTCACATCACATACCAGCACAATTAAAACGGCACGAACTGCAGGAAATAGTTTTGCTCGACATCATTTGCTGTGAAGTTAACAGTAAAAAAGACTGGAAATTCCATACCATGTGTTGGTACTCGAGGTCCATTTTACTCTGACACATTTTAAAAAATTGCCTAAATGAATTCAGAGTGACTGGAATGAGTGTGAGCTATCTTCTTGTGGTCCTCAGGAGATCAGAAGGCTGATGCAGGACAGGAACAGCAGCTCCAAGAACGTCACTAAGACCATCATCACCAAAAGGTACGAAATAACTGTGACAGATTGCTGCCAGACAAGATAACTTTATATCAAGTTAACTTATGTTAAGTGACCCTTAACTCTGCTGATTCTACTGACTGAGTTCTTGCTAGCTCATGCTGAAAATGCTTTGAAGCAACGTGACGTGTAGGACTAACCCAGCAACCGCAGTCAAAGCCTGACGTTATCTTCTCAGGTCTTTGAACGGTGGGCATCTTTTGCATAAGGCAGGTCATTAAAT